CTACGGGCGCCCCGAAGCAGGCCAAGAAAGGCCACGAGAAGCGGACCAGGCGAAAGGGGGGGATAGCAAATGGGGGGGGCTTTGAGAATCAGCTCTCGTAGCTGATTTTCCCGTCGCCTCCGGGCGCCGGAGGCCGCCATGCATCGAGGAATGGCCCCTCGGCGGGGCCGAAATCAGCTGCATGCAGCAGATTTCGTAACCTCCCCTTTCCCGGCCCTTTCGCTCGGCCCGAGAGAGGCCTCCGACCGACTGTGCAACTTAGGCGAGGTGGTGGGATATGGGCCGAAGCCCCATAGATTTAGGTCGGGCGTGTCCCCCTTTTGGCGGATCTTGAACGGAAAAAGAAATTCCCCCCAAATGCTCAAAACTGTTCAAAACTTGTCAAAATTCCACGGCTTTGTTCTGACTGCTTTTGTACAGGGACGCGCCCGACTTTTTGTATCCATAGATCTGCCGCCCCCTGCTGCTGTATCACAGGGGTGCCTGGCGTGCGCTACCGGCCTCGGAAGATATTAGCGAACACTCCTGCCGCATCCACATCTGTCCATGCTCCCCCCAGTGATCAATGCTGGCGGTGGGTTGAACGAGCTGTGCTTTGACCGCAGTCTTCCCCGCGCGTGCCAACTCTGAGTTTCGGGGAGGGTGGGGGTCCACTCATTGCTTCCTTCCACCGTAGATCCTGCGGCTTTGTTTTGGCCCTTTTCCGAGCGACCTCCCCTCTGGGGCTTCGGTCCATGCCGCCGGCCACCCGAAGGCCCCGCCGCTGCGCAACCAACGTTGAAGGCTTTCAACGTTGAACGCCGGCGGCGGGGTCGCTGCCCGTCGACACGACGCGAACCTGCCGTAATTGTGATCTGTCCCCCCTCACCCAGCGGAGAGCCCCGAGGCATGGACATCTCGGCTCTCCGGTTTCGCTGGGGGTCGGGCCGCGCCCTCAGGGGGAGGACGGCGAAGGCAGCCCACGGTCCTCCCTGCAGCGTGCACGGGCCTCCACCAAACCCTTCGCTGCCGCGCGCCTGAACCAGTCCTGGGCCCTGGCCGGGTCTCTCCTCACGGAGTCGCCGACCTCCAGCATCTCAGCGAACATGAGCTGGCACCACGCGTCTTCTAGCTCAGCACCACGCTTGAACCACATCGCCGCGGCGGCCTTGTCCACAGGGACACCGACTCCGTCGTAGTATATTTTCCCGAGCGCCGCCATCGCCTCCACCTCGCCCGCCTGCCCCGCGTCCAGCAGCAGTTGTAGGCCCCTGGGCATGTCCTGGTCAACACCGTCGCCAGTGTGCAGCATTTTGCCGAGACGCCACTTCGCTGTCGGAAACCCCTGCGCGACGGCCTTCTCGAACCACCGGGCCGCTTTCGCCTGATCCCAAGCCATTCCGTCGCCTTCGAGTGCCATCTCGCCCAGGTTGTACTGCGCTTCCATGTCGCCTTTTTTGGCAGCGAGCTTGAACCAAGCAGCGGCCTTCTGCTTGTCCACCGCGCACCCGAAGCCGTTCCGCAGCATCGCGCCCACGCAGTTCTGCGCCTGCAGGTTCCCTTGCTCCGCCGACTTCGTCAGCCAAGAGAACGCGGCGGCTGTGTCTCGATTGATCCCATCGGCAGTGAATAGCATGATCCCGAGCTCGCACTGCGCTCTAGGGTCCCCAACTTTGGCCAGCTTGGAAAGCTTGGCTGCGTGGGCCATGCCTTCCGTCGTCTCGCCGCCGTAATCGATGAAGGTGACCTTGTCCTCATGGGCAATGTGGGAGTCGGTTGGGGGCAGGTCTGCCCGCCACGGCCTCGTGGATGAGAGCACCAGGAACGTCTCGGGGTCCAATCCTTGGGGGGATCAACAGTGACCAATGCCGCGGTACCCTGGATCGAAAAGCGTCCAGCGGTGGCGACGAGGGCCTCCCAGGAGGCGCAGAAAGGGCGACAACGTGGCACTGGTAGCGGTATCTGCACCGTTTCCTCCACTGGAGTCCAGCGCCCTGCACACAGCTTTGGAGCTCCCCGATTGGCAGCATCTCCGCCGCCCGGTCGCTGGGAAATCGTTCGACCTGCACGGAGGCCGTCGCGGAGCTCAGGCTCGAGAGGAAGGCCTCGCTGGCCCCAGCAGAAGCCACGTCCGTCGCCTCCTGAGTGAGCTGGGCGCTCATACGGGCTTCAGTCTTCGAGTCTGCCGCGTAGCGCTGATTTTCCCGCAAGCGTAGCATGAGAGCCTGGGGGAACCAAAAAGCACCGATACCGCGACTCCCGGGATCCCTCCTGGGGCGCGTTCTGACCAGGGCTTCGAAGCGAATCCGGCGGTGGCGACGAGGGCCTCCCAGGAGGCCCAGAAAGGGTAAACCGAGGGAAGGGTGGCGGGATGGGTACGTGCTCCTCCTCTGAGAGCCTGGTACCCCCCTTCCCCACAGTCGAGCGATCGGGCCAGGGAGTCCGCGCCCTCCAGCGCAGCCGACGGCCCGAGGCCAGGCGCCACGTCCGCCAAGCCTTCGAGCGCGGCCTCGCCGATCAGGTAGGCCACGGCCCCCGCCGTGCTGGTCTCCGGCGTCCCCGCGCCGAGCACCGGGGAGCGGAAGCAGACCCTGTCCGCGAAGTCGCAGGAGAGGCAGGCCGCGTCGTGGACGGCGGCCTCTGGGAGGGCGTGGAGCTTCAGCCCGTCCAGCGCCCGGCGCCACACGGCGCTGGCGCTGCCACGCAGTTCGCCAAGGTCGAGCGCGCTCAAGGGCTTGTGGCCCACCCTGCCGTCCGCGACGGCAAAGCGCGACAGCTCCTGAACCTCGTCGTCTGTCAATCTCATCTGCAACATTCCGTGGCTAGGGCCTGTCCAGCTGAGCAAGTACCGACGTTGGGACATTGAGAGTACGGTATCGGACATCACACTCAACCCGCGACGGGCTCGATCAGCATGAGTACCATCTGCGTCACCGAGCTCGAAGAACAATCCCAACGATCTGCCGGACCGTACGGAGTCCACAGGTCTCGGGACGGTTCTCGAAAAATCGCACGACCCGAGCACACCGTCCCGGATCTGCAGGGCCATATCGCCGTCCGCAAGCACTATTGCATGGAAGCGGTCGTCCCGAAGAACGCGCCCGTGCTCCGCGCTGTCGTAGTCGGCTGGCTTCAGCTCCACCGCATCCTCCCAGGCTGGCTCCTGCAAGGTCCGCAGCAGGGCCTCCTCCAGCGCGCCGAGGCGGACAGTGCGGGGGAAGTGGCCCTCCGTGCCCTGATCGGCCAGCATCCTGTGGGGGCCACAGGATCGTGGGGTGACAAGCCGCGTGATGACCTCGGAATCTGGACAGACCTCACCGCGCGGTCCGTCACTGCAGGGTCTTGGGACCTCGGGGGTCCCAGTTGCCCGAAGCATTTTCGGAGAACGGCCCGAGTCCCAAAACCGTGCGGTGGCCCCGAATCCACACCGACTGTCCACGCGGTGTGGTCACCCCACCGTTGGAGGGGCTCCCGGATCCTCGGCCACTGCTCGGCGTAGCCTCCGGGCGGGAAGATGGCCTCCTGCACCTCTGAGTGGCAACGACAAGGAGGTGACCAACTCTGTGTGGGTGACACATGGAACTGGAATCGGCGACACATCGCATGGGAATCGGCGATATGTTCCAGATGGAAAATCCGCACGCTCCCAGGCTGGGTGGGCAATCGGGCCCCCATCTGCGATCCATGGGCGATGGGGGGTCGACGTCAGGGACCGATGCCGCTGCTCCCCGGGGCCTCTCCCGGGATAAATTCAAACCAGGACTTCGAGCCGAATTCAGCCGTGGCGACGAGGGCCTCCCAGGAGGCCCACAAAGATATGACATCGAGGCAAGGGTAGCGGCATCGGCAGCGTCCTCCCCGACATGCATGTTCCCCCCGCCCCCTCAGCCTTTCCCCCCCCCTCTATCGTTGCCCCTGCACCTCGGCGGGCAGCGCAGCCCACAAGCGCGGGGGCACCACCGCGGGCAGCTTCCTGCGGCACGCCTCCGCGCGCTGCTGTCCAGGCGTGGGCTCGCGCCAGCGCAGCGCCGAGCCGGACCTCTCCCAGCGGCGCTCGTAGACGCGCACCCGGGCCTCGCCGCGCCGCCCAGCGGCCAGGCGGAGTGCCAGCCACAGCCCTGCCGCGCCGCCGCCGACGACCACGGCCTCGAGCGTGCCGCTGGGCGGGGCCGCGCTCGGCTGGGCCGCGTCGCCCGGCGCGCCCACCACCTCGGCCTCGAGGACCTCGCTGCTGCGCGGCGGCCCTGCTGGGGAGACCAGAAGCAAGCAAGCGCGCCATGCTCGTCCCAAGGCGCGCTGGCAGGAGCAGGTGGGACAAGGTGTGATGAAGTTCAGGGGAAGCGCCCCACGCTACATTACAATGGCGCCAAGAGGAGGATGAGGAGGAGGAGGATGAGGAGGAGGACGACGACGACGACGAGGGAGAGAAGTTTGAAAAGGAGAAGGTCATGGTGAAGCGCCGTGGGGGCGAGGCCGAACAGCAAGCCACGATAGATAGAGCTTGGCCTCGACGGAAATGCCCCTGCTAGAGATATGGATGCAAGGCCAAGCAACGCTCTGCACTTGGCCTGCCTCGGGCGCCTCGCTGGCCACTGGCGAACGAGGGGCCCCGCTGCAGGGAGCTCTGCGCTCTGCTGGGGCTTCGGTGCCGAGGCGGGGCACCGCTGGCCGCTGGGGGGGGGGCGGTCGGCGAAGGGGCCCGTCGCGCGGAGGGAGGTGCAGCGCGAGGCTGCCCGAAACATCGTCGCGCTGCTTTTTGGAAGGCGGGATCCGTGGGGCCAGGCACGCAGAAAAGAGGAGCAGGAGTCGGGATCCACCAAGGGGGGGGGGGCTCCTGAGGAGCGGCATGAGTTCGATCCGCTGGTGCACCAAACTGCCGCAAACAGATGCCCCCCGCATGCCCCACCTATCGGCGACTGTCGGGAGCTGCCGGCGGCTGGGGAGCATCTGTGTTGGGCGGTTCGGTGCAAAAACCAATCGAACTCACACACATCCCCGGGCACACACACACACACACACACACACACACACCCTGCAGTATCCTGAAAGAGGGAGGGGAGCGAGAGCCAGGGTGGGAAGGAGCAGCGCCGACCGGAGGAGAAAAGACGGCAGAGCGGACGGTGACATCCCAAGAGAAAGAGGAGGGGGGGCGAACTCATCGGGTCCCTCAAGCCCGCCCACCACGAAGGGTCGAGGGTACGCCCAAAGACCTGCCGAGTCCGCTCTGCACGACGCGCCACATGAGCGCCCCGCTCTGCTTTTCCCACTCGCCGCATCCGACGCGCTGCATACGCGCTGGCCCAGAAACTTCGTCCGATGCAATATGGATGTCTGCATGTTCCATTCAGTGACAGCGTGTTTTCTGGCATGCTCGAAAGCGTACGCAAGTATCTTTTTTGCGTACGCGTCTTCTCTTGAAATGCGTCCCTCTCCCCACAGCCCACCTGACAAGCAAATCTGGATGCGATGTTTTCCCGTCTTCGATTTTACGCACACCAGCCCAGCGGCAGCTCCCACTGCAACTGCGCAACAGGGGAGGTGCTGGGGAAACGCCTCCGCGAGGGAAATCCGCCGATCCGGCATGTGAGTTTAAGAAAACTACAACCTGAGCTTCAGCTCTGCTGGGGGGGGGCGGGGTGGCTCAGCCGGGGTAGGGGGGGGGAGGGGGGGGGGGGTTCATGGGGTCCACCCTTTCTTCCCCCCCCGGGAATCCCAAACCGCCCCAAGACGGGCCAAAAGGGGCCCAGGAGGCCACCAAGACGGTCCAGGAGGCGCCCGAAACGGCCCAAGAGCGCTCCTGGACGCCCAAGATGGCCTGAAGACGGCCCAAGAGGCCTCCAAGACGCCTCAAGGAGATCCCAAGAGGACCCCCAAGAGGGCCCCAAGAGGGCACAATCAGAAAATTGCTAATAGGTTTTGAAGCATTTTAACATTATCGCCTTTTCCGTCTTAGAAGCGCCGAAGACGGTCCAAGACGCCCCCAAGATCGCCCCAAGACAGCCCAAGAGGCCCCCAAGAGGAGCCAAGACGGTCCAAGAGGGCCCCAATATAGCCCTGGAGGCCCCCCAAGACGACCCCGAGAGGTCCCCAAGATGGCCTCAAGAGGGTGAATCCGAACGGACCCTTCTAGCCCTCCACCCCAAGATGACCCCAAGAGCCCCCAAGATGCCCCCGAGGCGCCCCCAAGGGGCCCCCAGAGGCCTCCAAGAGGTCCCCAAGAAGCCCCCAAGAGGACCCCGAGAGGCCCCCAAGAGGCCCCAAAGGCCCCCAAGAAGCCCCAAGAACCAAGAGGCCCCAAGAGGCGCTCACTCGCGTGCTGCCAGGCCAGAGGTGCACGGCCTGACTTGGTATTGCTCGGAAGCGAAAGCGATGAACGAAGAACCTTCCACCCGTCGCCGTCACCAGTCGTCGGTCGTCGGCCGTCGGCAGCCGTTCGCCGTCAGTCGTCGTCGTCGTCGTCGTCGTCGTCGTCGTCGTCGTCGTCGTCGTCGTCGTCGTCGTCGTCGTCGTCATCGTAGTCGTCATCGTAGTCGTCATCGTCGTCGTCGTCGTCGTCGTCGGTCCGTCGTCATTAACGCCTTCGTCGGTGGTCGTCGTAATTATCCCGCTCGTCGACCGTTGGTCGTCCGTTGTCGTCGTCATCGTCCATTTCAACAACAATAGCATCAGGAGCGCCCCGGATCGGCGGCACTGGCCGGAGGCCACTACAATGTCTTCCGACAAGACATCGCGTGTGAAGCATGCTTTGCTTACTGTCTTGAGCACCCCGATGACGATCCAGCCGCTTCCTCTCGGCTGCCATCATTTACTTTTTCTGGGAATTCCGCCGCTTTGAGACCATCATTTCCTGTCATGAGAACTCCCAATGCGAAACCACACTCGGTCTACCAATTCCCCATGCGCCACACCATGCAATTCCATATCCATCTTGTGCTGTGCAAGAGGATCCGTGCTGGCGGTGTTCAATCAATTTACTCCCAGCAACTCTAAGTTAAATGCGTAGCACTTTGATTTAACCTTGGAATGAAAGACGATGCACTTAGCCAGGTACTAGCCGAAGGCATGAGGGTAAATGTTGCCGAAACTGTACCATAGCCCTCTCCCCCGAAGAGACTCCAATCCTTTCGGACATATGGCGTGCAAGTCCGTCCTGTCCCAGTCCGTCCACATGATAGCTACCTCCCAGCCCCGGCGGGAAAGGAAGATTAACCTGGGCAGACATTTGTAAACTGTTGCACTGCGATATTCAGGCTTGTGTGCGTCATATTATCATCCGTCTTTTAGCACTCGCAGGCGTCACACTAGATGGCGGCACGCTGCACGGAACCACATGGATCTTCCGATGTGTTTGTATGTAGGTTTACCGTGTTTGCACTCTGGGCTCCCAATTTTACGTTTTTTTTAATGAAAAGGTGCCTTTCTTTTGTTGTTGTCTTGTTGTTTTGTTGTGGTCAACGTTTTTAGGCCCATTCGCTGTGGATCCTCACCTTTGCTGGTGTTTCTCTTTGCGTTCTGGTCGAACGCTGTGCCTGGTCTTCCCTGCTGGCTTCGCTCCCGCTTGTTCGTCTCTACCGCAGCTCTCCATCCAAACGAAGGATTGCAAAAAAAACCGCACAACAACGAAGGATTGCAAAAAACCCAGCTCCGAACGAAGGATTGCAAAAAAACCCGCGTCTCTACCGCAACTCTCCATCCAAACAAGGTTTTTTTTTGCAATCCTTCGAGCCGTGAAACGCCGCTCCGCCTCGCCCCGGGAGGGGCAAAGGGCCCATCGGGCCCGGAGGCCCGACGCCCCGACGCACCAGTGAGGGCAAGAGGATAGCACGAGGAGCAATCCGAACCATCCCAGAAATGTCAGGCGGGCAGCACGCCGCGAGATGGAACTGAGGACGTCGTAGACAGGCAAACTTACAAGATGCAGCCAACTGTTCAACGCCAAGCAACACATACTCGATGCAAGAAAGCGTTGTTGGTGTCCTGCTGGGGCCTCAAGAACGCGAAAACGATTGTGTCCAACACGCCGGGTGAGAGAATGGTAACAACAAGTTGTGCCTCAATGCCCCTGACCACACTGAAATGGGGCTCGGAGCCAGAATGATGTGTTTGTAATAGACTATTACTTGCCTTCCTCCTCCTCCTCCTCCTCCTCCTTCTCCGCCTCCCTTGTCAAACGCAAGGGGCTGGCCTGGCGGGTGTCTCCAGCTGGACCACGGCGACTAGGAGGCGCAGACTTAAGCTGTTACGGGGGGCGACCCCATTCACATGCAAGGAAAAGGTGGGAGCGACTCCAGCACGCTGATGTCGTGGGCAGGTGCTTGAAAGGCCACGGGCCATCGCCGACGCTGCCACAGCTTTCGCGTCGCGCGCGGCCTGACCCCGCAAGGCCGCCTCTTCCCACGAAGGTCAGAAAAAGAACTGCTAACCTTGCTTAGCATCCAGCCCCCTGGGGATCCGAATTTCCCTCGGAGCCTGGACCGAGGGAGGGGCAGGGGGCGCTCAGGAGGGGGCCAAGGCGATCGACGTCCCCTGGCGGACGCTGAACGAGGGGGGGGGGGGGGGGGCATTCCCCCGCACGATGCGGCCATCACCATACCTCGGGGACTTACCCTGCCAAAAGAAGTCCACATGCTTACGGTGGCCCTTGCTGGGGATGCCGTCACAAGACGTGTGAAGTCCACCTCGAGACGGCTCCTTGTGGGAGCCCCGAGCGTAGGCACCATGTAAAGAACAGACCAACATGTAAACGCCGAGCCTTTGCTCTCGACCCTTTCGAACTTCGGCCCACCACAGCCTGTGACCCTAAGGTTCGGTCGCGCATGTCCTCCTACAGGCGGATGTGGAAGAATAATGAAGCATGACACACTTTCTCGAGACCAGTCAGAAGAGCACGAAACATCGTCAGCAGACTATGTTGCTACACCCTGCGAAATGCTTTAGAAGTCATGGGTTAAGAAATTCATAGTCTCATAACTTGAAGAAAAACCCAGAATGTCTATTCAAATCTTAGGATTTACATTGAAACATTAAGAATAATCGAGGCTCTGGCCGAAAACTTGGGTTTTCTTCAGCATCGCCTAAGGTGTACTATTCTTGAATATTCCTCCTATAGGGGCATGCCCGACTCAACCCCGAGGCTCCTTAAGGTCCCCCAAAAGCTTTAGCAGTGGGCCCTCCACCGAGGCTCCGAGGTCCAGGGACGGCCCAGGGATGCGGGCAGGAGGCCGACATGCCCGAGGGACGGGCG